GCACATAGCCATCGTATTCGCTTTTTGTCCCTATGCGGATATTTCCCGGGTTCTTTGTCTCTCGCGCTCTTTTGTCTCGATGCGCGGGAGCGCGAGAAGTTCAGTGGTTTTTTCTCTCTTGCCCGAGATTTCACATGGGCGACCGCTATGGAACCGCGGGCCCAACATTTGTCGTGCTTTCGGAATGGCTTAATTGATATATTTATGTGATCGTTAACTTTCTAAAAGCGCGGCATGATCATGGATTCGAGACGCGACCTCCCCTTCCTATTAGCTCGATATTATCGGTTCTTTTCTTACGGCGGCTCACCACTTCCTTTTCTGCGCCATAATTAATTGAACCATTTAGCCTTGGCTTTTATTTGTCTACGAGCATAAATACGATCATATGAATTTCATACGACCGTTGAAGCTTCCATAGACTTTGTGTGCTGTGTGCTTTGTGCTTTGTGTTTATTACTCTCTCTCTCTCTCTCTCTCTCTCTCTCTCTCTCTGTGCGCACGCGTAGGCGCATGTGTGTTTATGCTTCTCGAGCGGGCTCGAGCCGGAGCAAGAGTTTCATAATAACGGTACTCGCTTTTCTACGTTTTATTTTATTTTTTTGTTTTGTTTTTTGTTTGTTTGTTTGTTTGTTTGTTTTTTGTTTAATATAAAGCAATCTGGCTGCATTAGAAATTATAGCGCTGTGCTGAGAATAGTTTTGTAGGAATTAGACGGATGAGTGACTTGATTTAAAATGTCTCTCCTCGCTTCAAAATCATTTGCTTAGAAGCAAGTGGTGGGAATAATTTTTTGTTTGCCCAGTTATAATGACGGATGCTTTGGAATCGTAATTTCTACGAAAGTGCTGCGTACGAGACATGCATGGGAAAATAAATATTTATAGCAATTTACACCTACGAATCTATTTCGATTCGTGAAATTTTTCTGCTTTCATAAATTATTCAGACTTCTTTGTAAATTTCTTGAGATATTTCATTTTCACGTAGAAGAAGCACAATGTAATTTCATTTGAATGGCTATCGATACGAGAATTTGAAAACGCAGTCTATATTCGTTATAATCTCAGCACGTTTTTATGTATGTCTGAATGTAAGTAAGATACGTTCTTTTATTAATTTCTGCAAGGACATTAGGCATTTTTCGCATTTCAAAAGCTTCGTCTTATTAAATCAAATAAATATGAAAATATAAAATGCTGCAAACAAGTAAGAATAATGCATTTTTTGTTATTTTTCATAAATACAATAAAGTAAAATTAGCATTGCATAAGCATTCGTGAAATTTCTATTATTGTAGACGCAAACCTAAACAAACATATTTGATGTTATCGGTGCACAAATTGTGAAACATCAAACGTATCTCAAGGAGAAAAAGTCTACTGGTATTTTGCTTTCCACCGTTTATGTAGTTTTTATTGGAGATTTAGGCCAGATTCGATTTTACTCGTGCCATTGCATTTTATTATTCTATCTAATTCTATTTAATAATATTGCAAATTTATGAATATTTTCTCCTAAAATTATATTAACATACATTATATATCATATGCAAATATTTTCAATACTCCAAAGACCAAGATAGTTTAATCGCATTACCATAGTTGTAAGTATTACATTGAAAATAATTTGACTTTTTTAACGAACGAATTATTTCAAAAGAGTTTGACGATCAATTTTCACAGCAACGTTCTTTCTCTAAAGACCTTAAACGGCACATCGCGAGCTTTCTCAGGGGACGACGTATAGAAAGGTTAGATAAAAAGACACACGCGCGCGCACGCACGCATACACCCATGCACGCACACACACACACACACACACAAACACACACACACACACATATATATATGTACACACACACGAGGATGATAATGATGATGATATGATATTTCAGTATTATCAAGTGAAAAAGCAAAGCTCACTTGCATAACCATAAACAGCTTCTATGAGTCTCGCGTAAGCGACATTTGCTACCGACTCTGGGACACGTATAAATGGATCCGGTTCTTCTTAATTTCTTTTTCGCATATAAATACTTTGATTTGCAAATCCCGTCCGTGCTCTTTAACCACAAACTTATTGCTTTGCGAGAGGCTGCCTTTTTTACGCGAGCACACGAGCGCGAGTACGACTTGAAATTCAAACCAACTCGTTTTGAAGGCCGACGCAGTTGTAGAATGCAAATAATAATACTTAAAATTCCACATAAGGTTATACGTAAGCATGGCGTAGCGTAACCGTGCTAAACTAAAAATCGCGTAATTATGCGTCCAATATTTCTTTTTTCTCTCATTAACATCTTTTTTTATCTTCATTTCTCGCATTATAATACTGATATAATAAAGGAATACGAAATGTCTGGTACACATAATGTCGACTTTGCTCGCGTAATCTTTACCGCTGGGCGCGCATTACTTCTGCCACGTAAGCCGCGTGTAGGAAACGAAGAAAATACAGTGCCCGGGAGGAAAGTAAAATTGGCCGTTTGTAAAAGAGAGTGAAGACGCGAAATGAGAATGAAGAAAGTTGGAAGTAGCTTGGCTCGAACGAAAGCGCGGCATAGCGGAAGAGATAGAAAGTGCACTAGCGTATATTAGTCGGTTTTTTTGTTTTTTGTTTTTTGTTTTTTGTTTTTTGTTTGTTTTTTGTTTGGTTTATCGTTTTGTGCCATTTTGTTCTCTCACGTTTTATGGAAAATAAGCATCTGACCTGCTTTACATTACTCCAATATTTTGTTCAACGTTAATCTCGCATTTGGCTTTTCAATGTATAGGTCTATGCTACTTCTTTGTTAGATTTTACGAAAAATTGTTCTATAAAATTTTTCTTATCGTACGATTTATAATCATTTTGCAAATCACGACTCCTATTGGCTGCCCCGGTCAACACAGCTTCATTTATTTGAAATCTCGCACTTCTTCTCTTCTTATAACTGTTATTCAAATTACGACTCCTCCTAAGCATAATAAAATTCCTTTGCTCTCCTATGAGCTTTTCCCATCAATTAATTAAAAAATACTATAAGTTTCTCTATTAAAAGCGTTTGCCTTCTATTTTCAGTATCGCGCTATTATGTCGATCAAATTATTCGTAATAATCTATAATTATGTCCCTTATTAGCATTTCCATCATGAAAATGTGTAAAATCGTAGATAAGAGTATCGCCGGGGGCTCGCGATTTCAGATTCCGCGCATATCCAAGTGTTTTCTAACGACAGCCGACAATACCGAGTATTAGATCGATTAAACGGTGGGCTTGGAAAAATGTCAAAGGAACGTATTATTAATAAGGAAATTATGTCCCAGCAAAATGCTTTCATTACGTGCGAATGCTCCAACAATCCTCCCGTTCGTCCCGCGCAATCGTAATCATTCATTTTCGTTACCCCGGGGAAAATCCACAATTTAAAACTCGACGCTACATTAAAACTACGCGAGCACGCTACCAACTCTTGTTGTCTTTATTGAGACAAATAACGAAATATCATATGCGGCAAATGACGGCGGCATAATTGCAAATGAAAGCCAGCCACCGCGAAGAAGCGTACGGGAAAAATTGTACGCATAATCAAAGTAGATTACGCGCCTTGCGCTTCGTACCCAGTAGCCACGTTTTCGCGTTACGAGCTAGCAAGAGGCTACGCGGATCCGGAGATAAACAAAGAGGCGCTCCCAGAAGAAAAGTAATGAGGGAGTCGAAAAAGAGGGTGAAAGAAGAGAAGCAGAAGCCGAAAAGAAAGGCAAGAATAGTATGCGTAATCGCGCAGCAAAAGCTAAAATTGCTCCATTCTTCCGCCCTAACATCACTCCTCGCAACAAATCACGAGATCCTCTCCTCTCGTATAGGTACGGTCGCTCCAACATATACGCGCGACCATCCCAATGTTGCATTCGCGGTTTTCCTTTGTTTTTCCGTGCCGTGCGCACACCAAGGTGAAAGAAAAAACCCACGAGGTGGTAGATGATTGATACGGTACGACTCGGCATCGACAACAATAACAGTAATAATGACCACTACGACGCCGACGTAGAGGAGGACGAGCACGAGGATGACGACGAGGATGACGACGACGGCGAGGACGACGACGACGACAACAATGACAACATCTAGAGTAACGACAACGATAGCTACAAGGACGAGGAAGAGAAAAAGGACGAAGAGAACGGAGAGCAGGCTGAAAGATGCAGAGAAGAAAGAGGACTCTCGCGAGAGTTTCGCTTGTCCTCCTCCCCTTCCTTGTCAGAGAGTTCAAGGTCTCATTAGGCTCTTTATAATTCAACGAGACTGCAGCTCGTGCGCTTCTCGGGGCGCAAGCGCGAGCGCGAGCGCAAGAGAGGGAGAAAGGGCCCGACGCTATACATCATCGCGCGGGAGAGCATGCGAGCCAATGGGAGCGAGAGAGAGAGAGAGAGAGACTGAGAGAGTGAGAGAGCAAGAGAGAGAGAGAGAGAGAGAGGAGGAGGCATAGGAGAAGCCGGACGGAGAATGCGGAAGAGGCCGCCGGGAGGCTAGTTTCTTGGGTTTTGTTGGTGCGGCCGAGCAGCGCAAGATATAAGGACTCGGCGATGCCTCGTGAGCTCCTACTCTCCCGGGTACTTAGACCGCCTGTATAATGCGCGCGCGCTCGCCTCGTGCGCATTTATATGTATATGAGTGCGCGAAGGCTCGCGAGCTGCTGCGCACGAGATTTCCCCTCGCGTCGAACCTATCGACCCGGTCCTCGGCGATTTTCGCGCGGAAAACCGAGGTGACGGCGACGACGGCGACGGCGGTGCCGGAGTAACCCCCCCCCCCTCCTATCTCCCACCTCCCCCTTCTTCTCCTCGTCCCGCCGCCGTAGGTCGGTCAACGACTCCGCGGATTACGTTTCTTCTAGTTAAATGAGGAAGGAGGAGGAGAGGACGCGCTTCTTTTCATTTGTACCGCAAGGATGTGCGCGCCGCTAGGGTACTGCAATTTTTTGCGCCTCGTAAAAAATCTCTGTATAAGCGATGTTTTACCTTTCTGACTCGCCGCCACCGCACCGCGCCTGCCACTTGCTTTTATCGCTGTTAACAGTATCGTTTCTAGCAATTCGTCCAACACCAATGTAACGACCGCTAATTGCATCACCCACTCCAGACTCCGTATCAATATTGTTTCAGTTTATCGCCGTTATCGCTAAAGCATACTTTAGGCGGAAAGTCTACGGCGTGTCGTGCGCGTGAAATAAAAATCGCACGCCATTGCGTAACCACGCCGACGGACACTACGCAATTTTATTGGCTCGATACGTCTCTGTATCAATGTTGAACGCACACGATATCGGAATTTCATATTTGTCAGTCGCTATTTTTACAGCGCAGTGCCACATTAATAATCATAAGATTCTTTAAACATACAGAAATAATATTTTTATTACTGAGAAAGTTTGTTTTTGCTACAGCGGAGGCGGCGCCACATTTACAAAGGAACTTTCCTCGTTGGCGGACGAGAGATGATTTTCTACATTGGATTTCGAATGCATTAGAACGAAGGGCGATCGAGCCGAATCCAAGTGGGACACCAAGAACTCCGATTCACATTGTCGTGGACTGGATATTTTTCTCCGTAGCTCGCCATTTTTTCACTGGAACTCGCAATAACCATAATACACGTGGTCGAGCGCAGCGGGGATGAGGGCACGAGATGAAAAATTACAGAATCGTATAATGCACAATACGTGATTAACCCACTTTATAGAAGAGTATTCAATTAGACATATTTGCCTAATATAGTTGGAGTTCTTTGCCGTGCGAGTGCATCGAGCTGCTATCCGATGAAATTTTCCTTCCCAGCACCAAGCTCTGAAAAAAAAAGAAAGAGAGCACAACTGAGCGTCGTGGCATTGTTACTGGGGCGCCGAAAAATCCGGTCCCACTCTTAAGCGCGTGTTAGCTTTAAAATTCATACGATATTATTCATGGCTCGGCTTAATGATAAATAGCGCGGCTTAATGATAAATAGCGCGGCTCTAAAAATCATTATTACAGATAATGACCAGTTTGAGCAGAAAATTGTCGAAAATATGCTCGTATACAAGAAACGTGAACTGGCCGCAATTACGATTGAATTATATAATGCCTAAACGTAGGCACGAGTGCGTTTAAAATGTGTGGGAAAATGATATTCTTTTTCCGTAGTTTGTTTTATCACGAGCACGTGCTCCATTTGAACTAAAAATCCTTTTTAAATTTGGCTAAAAATCCGCCTGACGGTTCTAATTTAACCATAAACACTTTATTAAAGCCAATTCAAGTATTTCGCTCAAGGTACTTTTATAATATGCTCGTGTTGCGATTGAAAATCCATTAAAGCGTAAATAAATATTCATTTATGTTAAAAAACAAATATTTCCAAGAAAAAAAAAGAAAAAAAAGAAATGAAAAAAACTAGCAGCGTCGACAATAAAAATGTTCGAAAAAAACAATCAAAGTTAAAAACATTCGGCACCTTAGTTATAAATTATACAAAGCTTCTGACTTATTGAATAAAGCATATTGGACAATAAGCCGCGCGATGTGCAATACTTATTTTCGAGTAAAAGGCGCTTAATGCTATTGCATTCGGCGGAAATTATGGCGCTTAATCGGCTGTAACGTAGTTTGATTATCAATTTTTCACATTTGATAAGCATGGCAATCGTGCGCGCGCTCGCGAGAATTAGAAGAATATGAATAAACACATACATCGAGTGTATTAAAAAATAGTTTCGTTTCCTTGCCAACACGAAGGAGTTCCCTCGAAGCAAATTTTCACTCGGGTATTGAGTGAATTGCCATGATTAGGTTAACTTTTCGTTGTGTTATGCATTTATACATTTTGACACGAATCTTACTAAAAGTTGGTAAAAAAAAAGAGAAAAAAATATACATATATATATATATATATATATAATGCTCCCTACGTTCAAACATATATGAGAAATATATATTTTACTTTCATTTTATTTATTAGTTATTGTCATAACGACAATTGAAACTGCAAAGAAAGCGGCCGTCGCGCGCTATCCACCAATTACGTTAACATATGTGCAAAATTGGAAAGTCAAGCCGAATAAAGGATAGCCATTAAGTTTCGTAAACTCAAAAATCGCACGATCTAACGCGCAACAAGTGAGCTTGCGAGTCAAGCGAGCATACGAGCAAGTGCGAGTCGTTTTCACATGCGAAAAATGATGTAAAGCGGCCCCTCACCTCTCCCAGAGCGATCGACTTCCGGATCTCGGGTATCACCCTGAAGAGAGACGTGCACTCCTGATTGGTAAGCTCCGGCAGACCCATGTACTTTTGTAGCCCGTGCGGGCCCAACTCCATGAGTGTCGTCATGTATTTCAGCTCCGGGATCAGACAACAGCGAACGTAGGCGTACTCGAATATTCCGCTTTCGGAACGCACAGCTGTAACGATTTGCTTTAAGCTTACGATTTCTGGTTGTCATAGGGTTGTGCGTGCATGGAACAACTTCCATTCGACGTTTCACTCTTACTTTTGCAATTTTCCCTCGTTCGTCGAATCCTCGATTTCGACGGGTTACACGAGGCTTCTAACAAAAGGGGACGCTGATATTGAAATATTGACATTCGTCGAGTGCTCTTGGGATATAATGCGCGCGTCTTTTAATTTCAATTCGTGCCAAGGTTATTTTTCATTATTTACAAGGCAAGATCGTTATATTCTTTGATTTTAAGTTTGACATGCGCTCGTCTATCATTATGGGTTTAAAAGAAAAAGAAAAAGAATGAAAAAAAGCAATCACCCTGTTTATCGAAACAATGTGATCACTTGTCATGTAGGCTAAATTGACTAATCTAATTGTCATATTTATGCTTTACTTGTGAAATTTTTGATGTTTTTTAAACGTCGTCGATCCATTAATTCTTATCAGTCGATAAACGCTTGAAAGGTTGGCTACATTGACCGTCTCTTTTTAACTTAATAATTACAATGGCATTGTAAATTAGAGATAAGATGAAATAAATTACAAATCAAGGAGTAACGAAGCAATGGCCAAGGGTAAAAAAAATAGAAAAATAATAATATTATGATAATAATGGAAGAATACGTTCGTATTTCAGCGGCACATTGAATGTTGATTATTATTAAGACGCAAAAGAAATGAAAAGAACGAGCGTAGGCGTAATAAATGAATTCATACGAACTCGAGACAAGAAAAATAAGATTATCCATGTACTTTCAATTGACAATATACGTAAATAATGTGTAAAATAAAAATAATACGCCGAATAAGAATATCGGTTTTGTGCAAAACTCTTCTTACGCTCTTATGAAAGTTTATCACTAATTTTCATAGACCTTACGCGTGTAAAGTTCACTCACAAAAGAATTTGATATCGCAAGGGCAGACGGCTCTTCCTCCGGTGTCCAAAAATACCCGAAACTTTTAAACGAACGATAATTAAATAATCTATGAAAAGTTAAACAATGGAACGTTATCAACTTCATTAAATATCACTATAAAGGTGAACGAACGTATTTTATTTAGCATATTCTTAAACAAACTATAAATACTATGAAAGATGTGCCACCATGGAAATTTATAAATCATATGTATGGTAATAGTTGCGTTGAAATTATTTGACAAAACTCACGTCATTTTAAGCTGATGCTTATTAGGCATTCGATCGTCCGTTTTAATTTAATTTTTAATCGAAAATCGCTTCATTTATTTACACGAGCGACACCTTTGGAGCGCAATTATTATGTAAGCATGCGTTAAAAAAAAAAAATAAATAAATAAATAAAATAAAAAAAAAATAAAAAACAATCCTAAGAATCCTCCAATTCAAATGAACAAAATCTATAAAAAATACTTAAGCCATCGATCTTTAACGATATTAATAAATTTAATCGTCATTCTACATCGATCATTAAAATTCTCCTCTGTAAGCCTTGTAAGTCAATAATGTAACAATACGATTCATTCGTCTGCCTCTCGCTTTACTTCTACAACTTTCAACTGCCAGGCCGAATTTCTTTGCGCGATCGTATGAATTCCCATCCAAATCACATTGTAGTTGTCTCTTGCAAAAAGCCACCCGGAATCAGTCTTCCCCCGAAATATCATCACTCGGCGTCGTTCCCTCACCCCTAAGCGCAATCGCTCGATCCATTTTCCCTCTCGACGGCGTCTTCCATCTCAGGCATCGATCGCCGATAAAAAAAGCCGCTCGTGTCGACAGGACCAAGTGCCGTAACGGTCACCGATTATTTCGGAATTCCGTTGCACCTTCCTATCCGCGGCTGCTATTTGCATTCGGCAACTCGTCCCCACCCGCGGTCCGTCAACCACCGTCGCAGCTGAATAATTGAATCACGACGTTCACGCGCGCGTCGCTTATTCAAAGAAGCCACCTGAAAAATCCCCCGTTCTCACGCTTTCTCCTAGATCGGCCGCCCGGTTATTCGGTGACCCGCTCCATTGGCGTCTTATCGCTTGAGAACCGGGTGACCCCCCGCCCTTGGCGTCGACCGCCTCTTATCGCCATGCTTGCGCAACTTTTCCGATGGAAAGCGGCGCGCGAGGCGAGCTGGAGGCTTAATGCGGCCTCGGCGCGCGCCATTATTAATCGCATTGCGTAAAGAGCGCCGCGGGGAAGTCCCCACTTTTCTGAATTTTCTCATAATTGTCGCGTGCCGCCGTGGTTACGTTACAATCGGCCATTCAGCTGTCATTTCTCGACGGCGCGCAAACCTCCGCGCGTACCTAATGCTTTTTGGCACATATTCATTTTATGACGCACGATGCGAGTCATTTGTTGTTGCCGACAGCTTTTCTCTAGCGCAATTATCGATGTTCCCATGGAAATGAAGCGCCTGCCATTTTTCCTCTCCATTCAATATCTATTCTTGAATTTATACTTACTTTCATTAGCCACGATAAAAGAACTAGATACAAAACAAAAACAAAAACAAAAACAAAAACAAAAGTAAAGACAAATGAAAGGAGAGAATATCTCCCCTCCCCTCACCTCCACCATCACTCATAAGAGGACAAAAAGGCAGTGTGTTATTGTTGGCACCATTAATAAAATTATGGGCCTGCATATCGATACCCCGTAAGTGCTGTCGCATTGTTCGTTTAAGCCTTGGAGGAGAGTGTCGTTTATCATATGATGCTTACAAAGATTAAATGATAAGTTTAAATTTTTAAATTCTTAGCGATTAGTTCAACAAGTGGCCATGATTTTTAATATCGCTCTCTCTCACTCTCTCACTCTCTCACTCACTCACTCTCTCTCTCTCTCTCTCTCTCTCTTTCATCACTGTAAGTGTAAACTGATCGTTAAGCGAATAGAGAATATCGAAGTTTGCTTTTCCACTTAATTGCTTGGGCAATAAAAAGAGCTTTTTACAAGCGCCGATATTCGAATTATTATCAAAGCGCGGCATAAAAGAAAACCGAACAAAGTAGGAGAAGAGCAAAGAAAGTAAAAGAAAAAAATATAGAAGCGTTCCGAGGACGATAGGGCAGCGCTCGAAATGGCCGCGTCGCTACGTTCCGTTCGTTTCTGGCGAATGTTACGAATGATGCGAATGATGCGAATGAGAGAGAAAGAGGATGATAGCCAGTGCGCGTATTAAGGCAAACGATAGTGAAATTAAGCTGATACATTGTACTCGGGCGGCTTCGGCTAAATATCGTCATTAGCACTCGATCATTTCTCTTCTCTTTCCCCTCCTGCCCCCCCCCCTCGCCAACCGCCCCATCCACCCATAACCCACCCAAACAGCCATAAAACAATTTAAATTGTTACGGCTTGTAGTAAGGTTAATAGCAATGAGGCACGAGAGATAATGCTCGTAATGGTTATTACCACAATGTGTATTCAAAAAACTGTAAAATGATGGACGCATCGAGAAAGGCTAGGTCTTATCAAAAATCCTTTACTAGCAAAACCTCTAGCGAATTAAATGTCTGTTCGATGGGCTAGTTAGATTTTCAGTCCCATGTCCGTTAGCGAGAGCTCGTAAAGCCCAAATTAGGTTGTAGAGAATTAAAAACCAACAGACTCGCTCAGATTAAGGTTCTGTGCTTAAAAATGCCTTTATTACGGATGTAGATGGCAGGATTTAAAAAATATCTTGCGCCCAAGCCTAACTAGCTTTATGCTCTATTCCGATATGAATCGATATTCCGTTGAGAGGTTGATAAAATTTTAGGCCTCGATTTTGTGTTTTTAGTCGACTCGAGTTAGCTTAACTACACGTGCTAAAATATGGAGTGTAATTTTTATAATTACATCCTGCTCCGAGTTATAAAGTGTTTTTAAAGATTTTTTTTTTCTCTTTATTTATTCGTAAATTTTTTTTTCTTTTTTCTTTTTTCTTTCTTTTTCATTGAATCAATCTCGGATAAATTTCAACGTCAAATATTACTTATTGTGTTGCCCATTGGCTTTTTTTTATTCGTTCGTAAGGTTTAAGAACGTAGCACCATTCGCTTTTTATTCCTAGCGCTCGTTTAATTCTATTGTGATATGTTATTAAAGCTGAGACTTTCTTTTATATAACTTGATTTGATAGTTTAAATTTAATAATTCGCAATGAGCCTTGAGTTTAAACGTAGAAATCACGATATCCAATGTATCATGAAGCGCGACATACACATTTGAAAAATATAAAAATTATGCTGTCGTTTTAAAATTGATCCCTCGCTTTGATAATTCAATGCTATGAACACAAACCTTGACCAGATGTCATAAGAGGCTTAACAAACACTTTTATAAATCTCCAGCTATTAAGCATTTTCTATCAAATCTATCCCTATCAACGTAATAATACTGGCGATGAAGCTTACAAAATCTATTATATAATAGACTTCTAAAGTGCAATGTAATTTAATTACGAGTACCACGTTTTATAATATACAATAGCAATTTTCAATACAAACCCTCGTGCGAACTAGCGAAAATTATTCGCAATACCATAGAATTATTGCAATTGGTTATAACTTTTATTACAGTCCTACAATCGTAGCAAATAGCAATAAATTTTAGTATTTAACTAATTTGCCGACTACACTACTGACGCATACTAAATAAACAAATCGTATATCTTTACTACTGACGATAGTGTAGTATATATTATTATTGTTTCATTTGCAATTATGAAAGAGATAGCGACATAACACCACTATGCACTATAGTATTCGACATAACTCTTCCATCGATGTACTACAAATTTTTCTAATCGATTCGTGATCGATGCGTCTTTTTTTTTTTTTTTTTTAAATAAAAACACGATAAAATAGTGTGTGTGTGTGTGTGTGTGTGTGTGTGTGTGTGTGTCTCTCTCTCTCTCTCTCGCAAATTCACTCGTTCGTTTTCTACATTGGATAAGCTAATATAGGACTAATATTGGACTATCATCGAGTTTTATGACGTTCAATCTGAGATGATAAATTCTCCAGCTCACCGTAAAAAACCATCTGCAGTAAAAAAAGAAATTTGAGAAAATAAGATAAAAACGTGAGACGCTCGCGAATGCAGCGTTGCGAGCTCCTAGAGTCCGCGGGGCCACTAAAGGATGTGCCGAACCGCGGTGTTAAGAACCGTTCCAAAAACGGCAATAGTCACTTCACGGGGCGCGGAAAGAAAATGACGACCTCGAAAAATCAAGAGACACAAAGACCGCCCGCGTGTACAAGCAAGGAAACGGCACGAGTCGCGAGTATTATCCTACGGCTGAAATTGTCCGGGCGCATTGTTCGCGGGCACTTGTGTGGACCGAAGTGCAAAGTGACCGAACGAAGAAGGGAAAATAAACGGTAGAGAAGGACGAGTCCAGCGTGTCGAGAGGCGCAATGGGAGCGGACGGGGCGATAAGGGAGTGGAATGGAGTGGAATGGTGGTGTTGGAGGAGGGAATGGGAGGGGTGAATGGGAGAGGTGGGTGATGGTGGAGAGGTGCGTGCAAAGTCCTCGACAATAATAAACAGGCGTCGTAAGGTTGGTCGACGAGGAGGGAAAAGTAAGAGTGCAGCGTCACTTGGGATCCTTGAGAAAGTTGCTCTCGGAGGCGCGATCCCGGCGCGCGAATCGGCGGTCCGCGAACTCCCCGCTGACCTTTGCACAATGAGATGCAGAATCGGGCCGCGGCGAAGCCCGTGCAAACGGACGATGACTCGACGATGTTCGTAGAGGTATCGTTGTATGCTTGAGCGAGTCGATAGTCCGCGGTTTGCATGATTTGCGTCATTCCAAGAGTCTCCTCCTGCGAACCGGGTGGACGGTTAAACACAGACTTGGGATGATGGTGGTGAGGGAGGGGACAATTGTGGGGGATTGGTGATGGGGGGGGAGGGAGATGGCATTGAAGCACCTAAGCTCATACTCACGAAGCTGAAGTTGGCGCAGGGCCGGGTGTGCGAGAAGACGGGTATGCAGGTTTTGGTGGAGCAGCCGCCAATGAGCGGCACCGAGATGAATTCCGGACTGATGCCGATAGTCTTGGAGGCGCAGTTGTTCGCCCGGATGGAGTAGAGGTTCGTTATACCGAACAAGCGTCCATGCTCGTAGATGCCGAGCTTCTTGTATAGCTCGAACATCATCGGCAAGAGACAGTTCGTCGAGCGGGACACCAGTGCGACCAGTGCCTTTTGTCGTCACGAGAGACCATCCGTAGATTAGTCGAATTATATTTTTTGCCAACCTCCAAGTATGACGCTCTGCATTCGTAACCCCCAACCCGCCCTCCCTCCCTCCTCTTTTGCTTATGCGTAATCTAACTATCGTAGGTTGACGAATGTTGGTCTCACGAATGTACGAGTACTCGTGCAATTGCTTGCCTTGCCACGGTAAGTCGCGGGTATCGATTGCTCTGCCCGTTTGCACTCCACTTCATTTGTCTCCATGCAAGTGCATGGGATATGCATTTCGTATTTTAGTTTTTTGCGCATATACCGATATAATATCGAAATGGTTATTTATTTAATTGTTATTGCAGGAAATCCGTGTACTTTCAAAGTCTCATAATTATGCTTAATCAAAGGGGATATGGTAAATTATTATCTGAAAATGTTTTCGAGTCGCGGGTCAACGGGACACGATTGACACGATTGCACAGGCTTAACTACGATCAACCATCGCAAATTCTTAATCACAGTATCGTGGTAGAGCAGCGCCGGTGCTCCGTTTCTTATCAGTTTTCCAAAATCCTTGCAGCTCCATGCGTTGGATTAAAAATGCATTAAAAAATGTGAAGTGATTGAGCGCGCGTAGTTGCTTAAAACAACTCGGATTTAATGGATACGCATCGTCGAGTGAACGGTTCACCCGTCGGTCCCGAGAATCTAGTTTCCCCTCGCGTTAAAACTTTCAGCCGTGGCAGTATTGTAACGCGCAGATAACAATCGCAAAACGTGTTCGTTAAAGTGTTCGCGGTACCTTTTATACGTATCCCTTGTACCATGGGATGGCACTTTCCAGAGTCGAAAGAGTACGTCGTAAGATTTGTTCTTTTCTCTTTTTCTATCGATATTATCGCGCTGTATACAACGTGAGGACGTTGTTGATTTTCCGATGGAGCTCAAGCGTTTTTAATTGAAAAATAGCAACAATGAGCTTTAAATTATCATACTTTTGTGAAGGCGATTTTGCATTTACTTTAAAAATCGACTCGGCGCCAAATTAAATTTACAGCGAAATATTAGATGTTTTATGAATTATGAATTTTTATTCCGCGTCTCTTAAATTATGTATGCAAGACGGTATATTAAGTATTTGAAATATAAAATATCCAACGTGCCCAACAATAAATACATCGATACATGAATAGACATATAATTACGTATAATAGTTAAATTATTTATGGTTATATATTATTTTCTAAGGGAATAATAAGTGATAGTTTAAAAAATAGAAGAAGAAGAAGAAGAAGAAGAAGAAGAAGAAGAAGAAGAAGAAGAAGGAGAAAAGAAAAGAAATTTAAAAAAGAAAAATAAGAAAAAAGAACGTTGTACCATTTTTACGTCACGTGAAAGAAGTGCTATGGTGTCTGGCTTACATAGTGCTATATGTAAGTGTGTGTGCGCGCATACGGACGCAAACTCGGGATTGCATTTGCCTACTGTAAATTTTGCTTTAAACTTAATTACAATCGCTCTCATACGTTGCATAATATTATTCACTTAAAATAAATAAGCGGAGACGTAATTCAAGTAGTGGAAATAAAGAGGCATGTCACAAGCTCGGCAGCAGCGGGGCAAAACGGGCAAACGGTGCAGCGATGAATTTTCGTAATTACCTCGCGTATGGGACAAAGAAATTCGTTGGAAATGGCAGTCGTCCGTCGGCTTGAATCTCGGAGAGATCGGCGACCATAATAAAAGCGCCCGACTTAATAGGACAAACGTCATTACTTTGTCGTTAGTATTCGTCAATAAGCCAAAAGCCTCGAATCGGAAATAGACGAAACATAAAAGGCGGACCTCTTGGAGCTCCTTAACGCAATGGGAATTCATTATTCGCTGTAACGGAGCGCTTTGTTCGCTTACTTCGCGAAATAATCGCGTGTCGAAATACGCAATATCGACCTATCCGACGTAAAAAAAGAAAAGCGCTCGTATCGACGGGCATTCGATCCGCGAGTTTTTTAGCCGAAAATCGTGCCGCGGAAAACGTGGTTCAATTCGCTCGCACCGGCACTTTATGATCCTTGGCTGAAAGTTTTCTCGTCCAACAAGTTATGTCAAATTTTCAAAGAGTATTTTTCCATTACGTGGACTGCTGTCGAGTGTAGCGAGAGCAACTGCGAATACGTTGATTTTAATCGATTATTAAGCTTGATATATTTTGAGAACGATTATTACTTAGTAATAAAGTTTACTTAAAAAGTAAGCATTTAGAAATGTATTATCGATAATATGCTTTAAATATTATATTCGGCAGGTTTCATTGTTCATCAATAACAACAACAAAAACAACAACAAAAAAGATGGCCCTTCTTTTGTAATTCATACGTACATAGAAAATATCATCTACATTTCACGTTTTAAATTTATTATCTTTCTTCTTCTACGCTTCCCCCCCCCCTCCCCCCTCCCCACAGACACCCCCGTCGCTCATTGTAATTATTATTACAATAAAGAGAAAAAGGATTTTATATTTAAATTTGTTATATCGACATTTTATTTATGATTATCATTCTTTTATTTATGATTTCTTAAATACAGCGTTTTCAATAAATAATCCATGCCACCCCGTTATACGATATAAATTATTTAAAATGAGAGAGAAAAAAACCACTTAAGTCTTGCGAAGGAGAGATTTAATTATCGACGATGCAAATTAATAAGAAATTTTTACTAATTTTATGGTATGTTAATGCGTATTAAATATTTGTTTATAACTCCTTGCTTATTAGCCGTAGTTAAGTTAAAATTAATATAGTCGGTTATTATCGTCATTACCGCATGCGGGCATATAATTAAAATGTGGAAATATATAATGTAGTTGTTATTAATTGTAGTTTTCTAAGTTAAAAAAAATACTCAAAACAATGTTGGCCTTCACCTCGAGAAACGCGCATATCATAAAAATTAAAACGAAACGCATAAGGTGCGTGTTCGCATATTTATGTAATATACATGAAATAGTATTGGACGGGTCTTCTATGACTAAGTTTTATTATTATTTAAATTTATGCATAAATCATGAAAATAAAAGAAAAGGAAATTCGAATAATTAATTATATTTAAAGATGTGATAATACTATCGAGGAATAAATTGTTGTACAAGAAAGGAAACATCTATATATTCGAGACGATGTCTCATTGTTGGTTTTCATTGGCTTTTTGTAATCGAATACACCGTCGATGAAAATTATGCGGCAAACCGTGATTGAAATCTATCATTTTCATGTTCCATCTAATATAAATATTTCAAAATGCGTCTATTTAAGAAATTATTACATCTGAGAATCACGTTATATGCAATGAAATACAGAGAGACATTTTGCAATTCATAATGATTAACCAAAGCACCGGATATTCACTCCAATGGCTCTTCGTTACAAGGCTTCTTATTTTTTCTTTTCATTTCTTTTCTTTTCCTTTCGTTCCTTTTCTTTTCTTTTCTTTTCTTTGTTTGCTCCGTTACTTACAACGGCGTATACGCGATACGAATGCTTATGGAAATGCTCATGAGCCCGAGATAAAAGCTCCGCGAGCATCATTATAAAAAAAAAAAAAAAAAAAAAAAAAAAAAAAAAAAAAAGAAAGAAAGAAAGAAAAAAAGGAAATAAAAAGCTTGGAAACATAGGCGCTTTCTCATATTCGAAAATTCGCTTTAACTGCGACTCATTGGAAAACTTTTTATCGCAACTTTTCACTCTGCCAAGCTCCGCTCCGTTAACCAACCCCGCATAATACGCATATGCCGAAGTAGCCCGAGAAACACCGCGATTATTACTCGCCTGGGGGCAGTAGTTGACGATTTGCGGTATCAGCATCTTTAAGAAGTGAGCCTCCTCGTACAGGTACTGGTACTCCAGGGTGATGACCACGACCTTAGCACCGGTGAGGGCATGCTCGAGGCGCCGCTTGTCCGACTCCATGTTGCAGCAAATGGTCTTGCATCTCGAGTCGATGTGACTCAGCTCTAATAGCAGACCCGCGATCGGATTGGTGTCATAAACGGCCAGCTCATCGATTATGGACGATTGCTTCAGAGTGAGTGCCAGGCTCTTTCCTAGTCGAGAGTGCCGTTGTACTTGGATTATGGAAACGGCGTGCGCGTGTGGGTTACAACGAGGAGGTCGCGTTTGCCCGTATGCAAGACGTCATCGTTGATAGAAAGAAAGTTCGACGCCACGTTGACGCCGTCTAAAATATATACATACACAGAGAGCAAAAAGAGAGAGAGAGAGAGAGAGAGAGAGAGAGAGAGAGAGAGAAGAAAGAAAGTTCGACGCCACGTTGACGCCGTCAATTAAAGAGAAAAGACAGAGAGAAAAAAAGAGAGAGAGAGAGAGAGAGAGAGAGAGACAGGTTTCGTTCACAAAAGACAGCGTAGCGAAACTTTATGTTTACAACGACGCTTTTCTTTTTAAAAGCTTCCATCACACAACGTATCATTAATAAAAATCATCCAAATTTTTCCCTTATGATATCTCGATAAATAGTATATTCGGGATCTTATATATATATATTTTTTTTTGGAATAATTTAGAGTATTATTTTTGCTTTTATCTCGTTTGATGCTTTATTAAATCATGAAATAATATATAAAAAATTTTGTAGTAAACGCTGACCTCGATACTCGGCAGGAGCACACGCGTCTTCATTCGACGAATAATCATCGCTAATATTTAATAATGGAAGGATCGCTCTTAGAAAACTTAGTAATGCCAGATTAAAAAATTCAAATAAATAAAACATGTAAGTAACATTACGGTGTATATATACATTAATCCGAATGCATATATAAATATTGGCAATAGACTTATGAAGTCAAAAAAATACGAACATACCAGGTGTAAGTATCTTGATCAATAACCATAAAAAAAGTTTATGTGCCTCGAAGGTTTGAGTAATTATAAAATTATTTATCTTTTGACTGTAGAAACAAAATATTTTCTACGCATCCCGATCTCGATGATTCGATTTTAATGGTTCAAGGGCTATTTCGCTGCACAATTACTCGAATAATTACAGACTTATCGCTGTGCGATTACATTTTTATTAGATTCAATAACTTTCCAAATTCTTTTTCATTTTCCTCATTACAGAAATTCTTTCATCCTGGCAAACGTAAAAGGCCATGAAATCGTATTATTGGTAGAAATGATTACAATCTTGTAGCGTTAACATATGCGTAGCGCATGCAAGGGAAAATACGCTTTTGTTGGCTTGTTCGGTTGATATTGTGCACACAGCCAAAAAAAAGAGACGAACGGCGAACAATGCAAAAATCCTTCAAGATCCGCGTACAACTTTAAATTGTGTAAACAGACATACGTGTAAACTTTTTAAGGGAAGGGTCAGCGCATTGGGCAATGCGTAAAATGGGATTAACGCGCGCTGTACGTGTTTGTATATATCTAGATTCGGAACGCTGAGACAATTCGCGAAAGTCGTAAAACCAAGGAAAAAGGACAAAAAAATAAATAAATAATCGGAGTTTTCGCTACGAAAGTCACAGTACTGCGACACCATCTAAATATGGTGCACCGTAATACTTTCACTCTCTGTCTCTCTTTACGTATATATACACACACATATATATATATATATATATATATGTCTCTCTCTCTCTCTCTCTCTCTCTGTCTCTGTCTCTCTCTCTCTCGATCCGCGCTTTGCGCAACGCATTACATCTCGCAACTTTAATTGAATTTTAAGGCAGACAATCGCTTTATTGTCCGCGCACACATGCTTTCATATTTTCCATAACATTGCATAGCCATTACGATTCCGATGCTCTAATGGAGCGATTTTTCCCCTCCCGGTTCAGCCTTTCGGTACGCCGACGTCTGGGTGTTCTTGCCTTCGATCGCAATTAATATCACTTGCCCGCCCCGACACAAATTTCCCGCGCTCAGCCATACTCTCAATTTGTGGGTGAAAATTTTCCGGCGCACTGTCTTTGATAAAGTGAGCCGCGGTGGTCGCCTTTTCCAATGCGCGCCGCATAATTACGCAACAAAGTGCATAATTCAGTAGCCGCTGAAAATACGCGACTAGCATCTGGCGAGCAACGACGCGCAGCCACGCACAGGCATCGGGACTCGGTTGCGCATTAAATCTCAAAATCGAGCTATCGAAATGCGTCTTATTACACGCAATTAGCCCACGCATGCTGCGCGCACATTACAGTACTTACGCGCGCGGGAGATGAGCTCCCGCGTATACCTGTTTTGCCGGTGGCTCCGACAATCGTGACTTTTAAGATCTTCGAGGTATACATCGTGGAGCTGTTGCGGGTCCATTTGAAAAGCGACGCCTCGATACGTCTCCGGTAGCCGCCGTTGGTCCTTCGCACGAGCCACGACATAGAGCGAGACCTTCTGGCGTAATCCTCGCCCACGCTACGGCTTTATGATTAATTCATGCGTTTGGAAGTAAACAGGCGAGCTTCCCCCGAGTCCTTGGGAATTTTTTTATCTCTACGGAAATATGGTTTTTGTTAAAGCAATGGCGAGGCATTGGATGGCCCGGAAGACGCGGATCGGACCGGTGGAGTGCCAAGTGCCAAAGTGCCTTGGGTAGTGCGCGGTGTACGAGGTCGAATGCAATCCGCCTGCATTCGATAATTTGTCTTTACGTACTGAAACGCGGACGAGTTAAGTCAAGCGCGTAATTGATCGTAATTGATATATGTTGCAATTGGTTGGGTGTGCTCTAATGAAATTGTTGTAAGATGCGTATGAAACGAAAGCCATAATCGGTTCAAACCACGACAGCTTCTTCCCCCTTAATCTTTAAGCTTTGAGCTTCGAACAATAATGCTAATGCATTTGCCGGGCGATTGCTCGTAATAATGTATATCGCGCGTGGAAAACGACGATTATTCACTCTACTCGTACTTACGTACGATAAGTAGTCGATAATTGTCGTAAAAAGGACTGAGGCTGAGCGACAAAAGCATTAGGAAAGTGCACGCGTCCGACAACTCGTCGGCAATTATCGGCAACTCGTTGTCGTTAAATATTAATATCGCGTACGCCCGAAGGGAATTTCGCGGGATGTTGACACGACCGGCTTCTTTCACATTGACCGGGGAAGTCACGGCCAAGAGACAAGATGCACCAAGAGACATCTATTCGAGCATCGATGGCATAAACAGCGAAGAAGACCAGACCGAAGTAATGACGCCACGATGTGCGGAGAAACGTCTCATCCTCGTTCACAGCCGTTCTCCTCCAATTAACCAAATCTAGCATAGCCACGCAAATGCTAATAAGCACCGCCTACGCGACATCTCGCATATTCACTCGGTACTTATCGAGCGTTAAAGTCGCCGTAAGCACAGCGATCCTAACGCATCGATGAAAATTGAACGAAACTTGCCGCTCCTTGGGCCTTTACCTTCCCGCGGCCTCGTCGATGCTGCCGAAAAGTCCCGATCGGAGCTCGCGCCTCGCGACAATTTTCACGCTCCCGGCACCGCTACCAAGGGACAAAGAGCCGCGCGTCCTTTTCTCCGTAATGAAAAGCAACTTGCGCGCCGCTGCATTTCTTACCCGCATTCCAGCGCGCGCTCGGAACGCACAAAAGCTAACCTCCCTTCGCGGTTGCTCGCCCTGTCAAATCGCCACCGAATGAAGGTTGTCCACCTCGGGGAGTAACGATGCGCGACTGTCGCCGATGTCGGCCGACCGGCTCGAAGCACCGTATCGAGGGCCATCCGCGA